TGCAGAGGATTTACAATGTACAGGTAATGAAGGATTTGGATGACACCATCATCCAGTCATAGCCAGATAGTAGCATGAAGGCAACATGACTAACACCCTGCACACTGACATGTTACTGAGGAGGATTACACATCCCCATACTGGAGCATAATTACAGGAAATACTCACGGAAAATAAAAGAGTACTTTGAACAGGCTCCTGTCACTATCAGTGCAAGAATACGTGACAGTACACGTGACCACAGCTCCAAAATGGACAAGACACCAACAAAAAGAGTCACATACTCTCAAGTGGAGATAATCAATATGGTGCACAGCACCAAACACAAAACAGAGCAGACACAAACACAGCATCTGGTAATTTGCCTGATTAATCGTAGGGAGCTTGACACTGATGCTCACATAGAACTTCGATATTTGCACTGCTCTGTCTTATTTCAGTGGTGCAAGTGTCTGCTTTTTCACAACAAGCACACCTCTCTCAGGGCGATGAGCTTACCTTGACATATGAGAGAACAGAAATACTACTGTCCCATAGCTCAAGCTACTCAAAGCTGCAGCTGTAGAGTTTGCCTGCAGGGGCTGTTTCCTCACATGTGGAAAATGAACAGGTTTCAGAACACACAAAGCTAGTATTTAAGTGAGTTCCTGGGGCAGTTATGTCACCTCTTTGTGTAACAGAGCCCTTTATGTCTACTTGAGTTACCTTTTCCAGCTACACAGCAGGTTCTGTTGAAAAGGACTACTAGAAGCTGGTCTGGAGCTGACAGCCCACTTTCAGGAGAGCACAATACTTTGGAAGTGTGGTTTGGAAGCTAAGGCTGGCCGCTGTGTGTGAGGCTCCCATTCGAAATGTCTGGCTTTGTTCTGGAAACATAATTGCACAGGAGTCAGTTTGCACGCCAGATTTCACATGGATGTCAGTGGCTGATTTAGTCTCCTTTCATGGCTATGGAAAGGTGTATTATATCATGACAACAGCTTTAACTGTGCCTCGAATGAACCGAAGCACTGTGGAATAGATTCCCTTCTCAACTCCTGTACGTCGTGTTAAAGCGATGGTCTGCACACGGC